TATTATGTTATCGTCTTAAAATCTACATGCTTAGACGTTATCAAGCTGGATATGCAATGCTTATAGAAGTAAACATAAATTCCACACAAAAGTCCCTTGAAGGAAGGGATTGACTATTTGCTGCCTAAAAATGTAAAAGAATTTATGACAAGTCCATTTTTTTTCATCTGTTAAGTGTTGAAAACATCTGTGATAATTTCTGGTGATAAGATTTCTAAATTAGCCGCTTAGATTCCATATCTGCTTTAAATTTTTTTTAGAACAAACTAGACATCAAATGAAGACTTTTGAGTGAAAATAATTGGCCGTCATGACCATCTGTTCAGGAGATTTTGTGACACATTTTCAACAATTCATTGTGGCAACCATATTGAATGTTTGTGGGACAACCGATTTCATTGAGGACTAACTTTATATCAAAAAGTTTTTTTGATGAAAACCCTATGGTATGACCATCAATCATTTAGTAGTGGCAACAAGAGTTTTAAGGTGGCCGTCAAAACTATTGAATGTCCTATCAGCCTTAATTATATTCATGACCAACTGGGCATCATATTTCTAATAAAGTCCATGTCAGTATTACTTTCCATTTTGAAGGAATATCTACTATAAGATTTTCATAAAGGCTGCCTTTGAGGCAATATCGGACGTCACATCAAAATAGTTTTAATACACAACTAACCAGATGTGACAAGTCTTTTGGTAAAAATCGTGTCAGTATTACTTTCCATTGAACAGGAGGGGTAGCAATAACAAGAATATGACCACCATTGTGGCATCACAGGATTTTAGATTGGCACATTTTCATTTAGGACAAACCAGTTATAATGTCTTCTGCTAAAAATCTAAAGTTAATATGACTTTACATTGAGGACGAGAAGCAATGAAATTTTTAATACTGCTATTCCAGATTCCATATTGGCACACTTCATAGTGATGACCAACAAGAAATCCTAGTTTTACGGGGAAAGTGCCATCATGATATGACTTTCTGTTCATGAGGAGCAATAATAAGATTTTCAAAACGGCTAATGTGGTGGCCATTTTTAAAGTCAGATCTGCTCCATGTTCGTATTTAAACGCAATAGACAGCAGAATATACTTTTACGTAAAGCTCTCATGTTAATATGGCCATCCAATGATGATGGGTAGTGATAACAAGATTTTCCATAATATCATCTTTGGGGTCATATTGGATGTCTGAGAGGAATCGTTTTCTTTGCCGACCAAGTAAATACCATAATTAGATTCCGTCTTCTGATGAAAACGTCAAGCTGATATGACTTTCCGTTCAGTAGAACTTGGAAAAAGATTTTCAAGATAGCTACCATAGCGGTCATATTAAATATCAGATCAGCACCATTTTCATTTAGTACCAAGGATATGTCATTTTAAAGCCTCATATTGATATGACAATCCATTGAGGAGGAGAAGCTATAAGATTTTCAAGACGGCTGCTGCGGCACCCATACTGGATGTTTGCGCAGTATCTTGGGATAAATGTGTAATGTTTAACGATAATCCCCCAAGTAGTTCTTCGGATGAGTAGTGATAACTTCCGTGTGCTAATAATGGATGGATGGATGTTACGATGTCGGACAACAGTTATGCAACTCTTCTGGTATATAACCAGTAAAGCTAAATTATTGGTGAAATATCAGTTTTCCTTCGAAGTAATAAAGTTATTTTTGAATTCACTTTGCAAAGTGTCCAATTTGTCATTAGTAATAATTTTACTGTTCAGTGAGGTCAAAGTTCTATTTGCAGTGGCTACGTTCAGTTCTTTGATATTGGGTACTGTTATATGATAGATGGATCTATTTTTGACTTAATTAATTTAAAAAACCTAAATAACCTACACTTGATAATTATTACAAATGATCTAGCAAAATCTAAATACATATTCAATGCACTTGTGATGGGTGTTAATGTTTATTTGACAATGTCTTAATGTAATGCCAGTAGCTCTTCACAAACAAAGATAAATATGACAATGTCTTAATGTAATGCCAGTAGCTCTTCACAAACAAAGATAAATATGATGATGTCCTAATGTAATGCCAGTAACTCTTCACAAGCAAAGATAAATATGATAGTATCTTAATGTAATGCCAGTAGCAAGCAAAGATAAATATGACTGAATTAAATACTTCAGTCAACCTTTCTATACACACCAAAATTTACATATATTAATTCCATGACCAAGACCAAATAAATTGAATGTGCCAGGTAGTTTCTTTGTGTCAATTGAAATGAAGGTAGAATATGCTCAAACTACAGTGAAAACAATTTTGGGTAGACATTGCCATATCCTACACAGTGATGATCTTTTCAAATTTAAATGATTACTTCAGAATCACTTTTGAGTGCAATCAGTCAATGTTGAGAAATTGTATTTCTTTATGACAACATCACACTGAAGAGGATAAATCAATAAAACTTTATCAAAGCTGAAATTGGAGCTCCATCAATGAACTTAAAGGGTGTTTATATACTAGTCAAAATTTTAGAACTAATGGGTAGTCCTTGCAATTATTATCTTAGTGGTATATCGAACATATTTTCTTTTATCTAGCTTCTAAAATGTAACCAGGATCATAGCAATTTGTTATTTCAAGCACATTTTCTTTTATCCATTTGTTTGTTAATTTAATGTACATATAAGGTTTATCAATTCATTACTCGAGAAGGAGCCCGAATTTTTACCTTTATTTCCTCAATGTAGGAAGATTTTATACTGACATTCTGTCCAATCCTGCTGTAAATAACTGTAAAATTAATCCCATCATTAAAATGTCAAGTCCACAATTTAACCTCACACAATGTACTGCCAGAAACAGTTCAACTGCTATCAACATGGTCTTGGACAGTCATTCATCTAGTCAAATCTTTCATGATGCAAAATTTGACAACACATATATCATTCTGCTGCCCATAAATAAAAGAATTCCTTTTATTGATAGTGATCATGGTGAAAATCTGTTGTTTTTCACAATTCATTCATAGACTGATATTCATGAATGTATCAGCTGATAAATATGTAATTCAATTTAAGATGAAGTTCATATTAAAAAGGTTGACATGTTAAGTGATTTACTGTTTTTCAGTTATATATTGTGATTTTATAAAATTATTTTAAAATTGACATATATACAAGACAAATATTATCATCTTCCATATCTAGCCAATGATTGGGTTCATCTGTAAATACAGTGTAATTAAACCTTTGGCCAGATGTTTAACAGTGTCCCATCAACCTATTAAAGAAGCAGGTATGCTTAAATATTAAAGATACTAATTAACTTATATTTGTGGTTTCATGCGATTTTTATTTTAATGACAAATATTTAAAAAAACATGCAAACTCTTGTTATAATTCATTTTAAAAAAAGGAGACAAAAAAAACTTGTTATATTTTTATTTTAAAATATTCTTATTTGGTTTGTTTTCAAAGCTCTCGATGAACACTTAGTTTGGAAAGATTCCTAATGGATTTTCAAACAGAACTAGTTACCTCAAAATCATTTCTTATTCTTGACCTTTTGCAATTTATTTTGAACTATAACAGAAAAATATTATGACATAATGCAAAGGTATATATATATATATATATATATATATATATATATATATACACACACACACACATACACACACATCATTGTCTGTAGCAAACAAAAGTACTACATTAAAACTGTCATTGTTACATTGTTATTTACCAAAATAAAACTTGCCAAGAGTGGGTTCATGGTTCTTTCTGGGGTTTTCCTGGGTTCTTTCTCCACCATTTATACTGGCTGCCATATATAGCCTATCTTGCGCTAACAAATGGTGTTTAACTCAACAACCACAACATTACTAGTAATATGTCATAGGAATGGCATAGGGCCAACTATTCCAAACAATGAACAATTATTATGTAACCAGCACTGTTCAACCTCTGTGAAATGAAAGCAAACAGTTTGTTACCTGTACTTCATTTTGATTGACTTGGAAGATTTTAATTTTGGTTTTTAATGGTGATGCACTAAAAGGGATGTAAAAGCTTCAAAATTCAAGCTTCCATAATATCAGTAAAGTACTTTTATTGTGTCATTTAGTATACATTTCTTGCTAATGTAACTAGCTTTTGATGGCTTGCTTTGAAACCCAGCATACATTATAGACATCAGGATATCATGTGTTTCATGTTCCAAGAATACTAAAGAGTTATGCCCCTTTTTTCTTTCCTTATCCATTATGCAGATTATTTTTTAAGTTCAAACATAGATGTATCAGAGTTATTGCTCTTTTGCAAAAATCCTTCAAATTGGGGGTGAGTGAGGTTTGAGGACATCAATTGCCTATCAATAATTTATAGTTTGTTTGGTTTATTTAGTTTCAAGTAATCAACTTGCACTAACATCCCTCAAAATGAATCTATCAATTGATTGGAAGTGAAAATGTGTAGGGGTTCTTTGATAGGTAAAAAGCCAATCTGAATGCAACATGTTTTTTTGTTCAAGCAGGATGCCATCACAAGACACTGCTTTGTCAAAATCTGTTGATTCTTAAGTCTTAAATTGACCTTAGCCTTCCAACTCATGTTCAAGGACATGAAAGGACAATTGTTTTGTTGTGTAAGAATATATAGCAGTTTTGTAGAATTTAAGTAAGGTTCTTAGTTAGGAGAACAATCTACAAGCCCTTTTCTCTATTTCTGTCTGGGTAGGCTACATATGGTAGATCAGTATATTTGGTAGAGGAAGAAACCAGAAAGACCATGGAAGAACAAGCTACTGACTTTTACACATAGCCATAATGGTTGAGACTTGAACCCACACAGAGATGAGAAGGATGAGTGATCTGTAACAGCCAATGTCTTAGACCACCCAAGCACCCATTACCCAAAACTGCATAATTTTTGAATGGGTTAATCAATAGGTGTTTAATGGCACATCAGTACATTCATGGCAGTAGGAGTAAAGTGCCTTGCTCCGACATATACAACAGCTACCTTGTGCTGACCTGGGCAAGATTTGAACCTGTAACACCCCTGATTATGAGTCAAGCATGTTACCACTCAGCCACCACTGCTACCTTGTAGGATGTACTTATCTCTGTCTCACGGAGCTAAAGATGAATGATTTCTTCATCAGGTTATAAAACAAATAAGAATTCAAGTTTGGCAAGATTTATCCACATTTTAATAAAAAAGATAGACTTTCACAGGAGAATATTAAAATATTAATTGTCATGTAAAAATAATACATTCAAAAACACATAAAAGGTCCATGAAAACAGCAACATTAAGTCCAATATTTGTATTATAGCCATCACACAGATTCAGTATGCAGATACAATATGTGGTATGCTAAAAAATTCATTCACTGACAACATCAGCCTTTATAAGCATAATAGTTGTAACATGGGTAATGTCAGACACTAACTGTGACACAACAAAGTGACAACATGGTGAAATGCCATAATAACTTACTGAATGTAATAACACATAATAATATATTTGAATGTAATAATAAATAATGTATTTGAATGTAATAATACATAATAAAGTATTTGTTGTCGTTGTAAGGTTTAATGCCATTTTTCAACACAAGATAGGCTATACATGGCAGCTAGTATTAATGGTGGAGGAAGAACCCTGGAAAACCCTGGGAAGAACCACCGACCCACAAAAAGCTACTGACAGGCTTTCTCAAAAGTGTATTTGAATGTAATACCAAATAATGTATTTGAATGTAACAATACATAATATATTTAAATGTAATAATACATTATAATAAAATAATAGTACCATCCAAATTGCTTACAAGTTGAGTCCAACTACAAATTGTACAGACCCAGACCCACCATCACATAATGTGCTGGCAAACCTGGGTCTATGCTGGCTGCTAGAAGTAAAACAATCCGCATAGAACCTGATCCACAGGTGCATCATGCAGATCAGAATCGTTACTGTTTGCAGTTTGACTCAACTTATAAGCATTTACATATGGTAGTGAAACACCATGGACAGTATTATTATATACCCCTTACAGACCTCCATGTAGGAATTAGTAGTGTATGGCTGATTCTGGAGATTTTGGGTCAGTTAGTCTCAGTGACCTGGACGTTTGGTCATGATATCTGGTTTCAACTAAAATTACTGTGCAAAAAGCCATTATCATGTTATTAGACTTGCCATGACTGTGAACTCTGGACTCTAGGATTTAGTAGTCTGTCTTGTTACCTTAAGTACATGCTATCCACAAAGTTATTCTGCAAAACTGATCTTTCATTTAACCACAATGACCATGACATTTGACCATTTGACCCCCACACCAACAAGCATGTACCATTGTATATAAGATAGCCCTCTACAAACTTTTGTCAAGGTGCTGGACTAAAAGCAATCTTAAAAAATACAAATAGTGTGGATTGGTTTGAGTTTTTGTGGACAGTTCAGGACAATAAAGAATATTATCTAGAAATCATAAAAGCTTGTTAAAACAAACATTTAAGCTTAAAATGCATACAACAGTACTAATTACAGACAAATCTAAAAATACATGTACTTTAAGGAGATCCAATTCAAAATTACATGTACTCCAAGGGGATCCTATTCAAAATTACATGTACTCCAAGGGGATCCAATTCAAAATTACATGTACTCCAAAGAAATGCATTCAAAATTACATATACTCCAAGGGGATCTAATTCAAAATTACATGTACTCCAAGAGGATCCAATTAAAAATTACACGGACTCCAAGGGGATCCAATTAAAAATTACATATACTCCAAGGGGATCCAATTCAAAATTACATGTACTCTAAAAGGATCCAATTCAAAATTACATGTACTCCAAGGGGATGCAATTCAAAATTACATGTACTCCAAGGGGATGCAATTCAAAATTACATGTACTCCAAGTGGATGCAATTCAAAATTACATATACTCCAAGATGATCCAATTCAAAATTACATGTACTCCAAGGGGATCCAATTCAAGATTACATGTACTCCAAGGGGATCCAATTCAAAATTACACGTACTCGAAGGGGATCCAATTCAAAATTACATGTACTCCAATAGGATCCAATTCAAAATTATATGTACTTCAAGGTGATGCAAATTACATTTACTCCAAGGGGTTCCAATTTAAATTACATGTACTCCAAAGGGGGTTCCAATTCAAAATTACATGTACTCCAATGGGATCCAATTCAAAATTACATGTATTCCAAGGGATCCAATTCAAAATTACATGTAATCCAAGGGGATGCAATTCAAAATTACATGTACTCGAAGGGGATCCTATTCAAAATTACATGTACTCCAGGGGGATCCAATTCAAAATTATATGTACTCCAATGGATCTAATTCAAAATTACATGTACTCCAAGGGGATGCAATTCAAAATTACATGTACTCCAAGGGGATGCAATTCAAAAGCTTCAGGACAGCCATCTTCATTATAAAGTAAAGCAATGTACTCTTGTAAATTGTTATCAAGATGATGGGTTACAAGTCCTCCATATTCAATTTTTCTGTTCAGCACTCAAAGTGTCATGGATGAATTGTGACTGATGATTCCAATCAGGCTACCTGTAAAATATCTCATCGTCGATACATCAGACAAATTCAGAGGCTGTAAAATCCTCTTTCTATTCAAACTAGGTTTCAAAATAAAATATTGTCTATTAAGATTTCAGATCTTAATATGTAAGCATCCACATTATTGATGATAATGAATATATACAAATTATAGCTTTAAACATGGTTAAAAAGTCACTAATCACCTCATTAATATACAATGATCATGCCTACTTACAACTATCCCAAATCTTAATGATATAGGCCCATTATTAGTTTTAATAAAAAATGAGATCAGAATTATGGCTTCTAGATTGGTAATAAGCAATCACATGCAAAATCAAAGTATTCATGACATTATTCATTTACAGAAGCATGTATGTGTGTGATTTGGAGATCTAATGCTGCTGTAACAATCTTTCAGTCATATCACAATGATGTCTGCAGTGTGGCAGTTTATAGTGATGTCCAGCACTGGGGAATAATGCCACAGACATATTGCATCATGTCCCACCCAATCACATTATCCTGACACCTGACTGACCAGTCCTAGTGCTACCTCTTAATGCTGAGCGCAAAGTGAGGCAGCTGCTAGTACTATTTTTATTAGTATAACTTGGCCAGAGTTCAAACCCATGACTTCCCACATCTGAGGGGGACACTAACCACTTAGTCCACTGGATTGGTCTTTTCTAATTCTGATAAAAACTAATCACAAATAAAGCTTCCATAGTGTTAACATGCTTAGTCAGTCTAATGTAACAGGACATCAACCTCATGCCAGTTATCAAACACATCAAAAATCATGAGCCATTTTTAAGTTTATTCAAAGAAATATGGTTTTCAGTGTGGTAACAAGTTCATCCAATCAGAATTAAGTCAACTCATTAATATGCATTCCTCTTACTTATTATTCACCTTAAGAGTTTGATGATACAAGCATATCCTTTTAGTTGGATCAAATTTTGGATTAGAAATGGCCTCTAGAGTGGTAACAAGCTCTGCCTATCATATGTAAGAATCCTGATAGTTTAATTGAAATTGGATAAGAAATACAGCTTCCAGAGGGTTAGCAAGTTTATCCAATCAGACTCAAAATCACTTCATTTGCATGTGTGGATCTTGCTCATATGGAATTCATTCCTCATGATAGAAGAATTTATTCCAAGTTTGATTCAAAAATTGCAACAGAAATATGGCCTTTAGAGTGGTAACAAAGTTAGAAAATCAGGCGCAGATAACCTCAATAATATAGATGGATCTTGCTCATTATCAAATTAGGTTTGCCATTTTGATAATTTAACCCATATTCCAAGTTTTGTTGAAATTGGATCACAAGAAATGGACTTCTGAGTGGTAAGATGCATGATGAATGCCTGGAGTGCTAAGTATACATTTTTCATCAATGATATAGGCAGCAAAAAACTGGTGTACAAAGTAAATATTTTTGTTAATGATATAAGCATGAAAACAATTTTCAAGATTATTTTATGGCAAAAATTCTTGATGGTCTACCAAGGGCTTGGAAGAATACTATAAGAACTAAACATAAACTTTAAGCTCCAGTGAACAAATATCATGAAGTACTGCAAAAACATGAAAAGCATCAAAGAAATACTGAGAATTATCTCTACTATCGAGAGGAAATGGAATATTGCACTAAATTGGTTTTAGCAAATTGATAAATTTGCTATTTGCTATTGAACTGGACTACAAACCAATACATAGTTTCTTTTCAGTTCAAAATTATTCATTAAGACAGTCTATATAAATAGTAATTTTAAATGAAAACTGAAGCAAAATATCATTGTATATTCTGTAATGAGCAATTCACAACAAGAACAGTTAACAACAGTTCTTGAACTGTTCCATTTTAAAACAATATTACTTAAATATGCATTACTAATGAGAGGTAAAAATATGTGGTATGCAAGTAAATTACTGACACGTTTGCAGATGATGCAACAATTTCATCAAGTAGCAATGTCTATACTTTGGAATGCAAAACGAAGTCCAGACCTTATATCAAATGAAGAGTGGTCAAAACAAAATTGATGATAATAAGTGAATACAAGACAAAATGCATGTTTATGGAACACTTAAAAATCTTTTTAAGTTAATGAAAAGATTATCACTGCACTTTAATAAGAATCCAGTTAAAAATGTTAACAGTGTGAAACTATTCAGAATAATCATTGACAGAAGTCTTACAAGTAGACAGTGTACATATTATCATTTAAAATTTTGTTGTTTAGTACAATATAAAAAGTACTTGACAAAGGACTCCAGAAATCTATTTTTATTATATGCTTTCAACAAGCTCTGTTCAACAATAGGAAGAAACTTTACCAATTCCCAACTAAACAGAATTCACAAGCTTCAAAAATGAGAAACTCGGCGATTCTTGATGCATCATCATCAGACATGTTAAATTAATTAAAAATTAAAATGAATTAAAATGGTTAAAAAAATTACGAGAATACATTTTCTTAGAGCAGTCCT